ATGAGGTCTTGCTGCCCAGGCGGGTCTCGAACCCACGGGTTCAGGCAATCCACTCACTTCGGCCTCCCAAAGGCGTGGGATTACAGGCTGAGCCACCAAGCCCGGCTGTAAATTTGTTTTTATTAGGAAAAGATAAGTAAGTCAAACTTAGTAGTAGAGTTGAAATTCACAACTATGTAGCAAGACAGATTGTTGTGTAATAAGATGTTGAGTGATTTAAGATGAGTTCATTTTGTGTTTTTTTAAATTTATTTTTGTGATTAAATGTTTTATTTTGTCCAACGAATGGTCATATTCTAAATAATAAATGTTATAATAATAGCTACTGTGTGATTGTGCTTTTCATTTACTGTTTAATCTGCATATAAAATACAGCATAAATGGGTTACTGTTATCTTTAGAATAAACTCTTGTTGCTGAAACATCTGCATTTAAAAATATATTTTGGCAATGAAGTATTAGGCTCTGTTGGAATATATTTAATGATATTAAAATGAGTGGATTATTTTCTTTGACAAAGTATTCTTTCATAATGTGAAAATGCTTTGTAAGTTGAAGGTCATACAAATGTTAATTGTTAGTTCTAAAAAAGGGTAAATGAATAAAATGGAACGATAATTTTATAATTATATATATGTATTTCTTTCAGTTAAGGCTTTATTATGCAAGATTATTCTTCTTTTACAAAAAACTTTTTTAAAAAAATTATGAAATCATGGCAAGAAACATTTGAAAAGGAAGAATAATGGTATAGGGGTTTGCTTTATTAAATGTGGAACTATGTTACCAAACTTAATAACAAAAGTGTGAAACTGGTGCAGAAATAAGTAGATTAATAAAGACTCCAAAAATAGATCATCAATACATATGAGAACTTAAAATGTGATAAAAAGGACATTTCATGCCTCTATGAAAAAGATTGTTTAATCAAATAACTGTTTGAAACAGTTGGCTGTGCATTTAGATAAAAGCAGAATTGTACCTATCTCATGTCTTACATGAAAATAAATTACAGATGCATTAAAGTTCTGAAACAAAACTGTAAACATTCTAAAAGCAAATATAAGAGAATAATTTTTCATTTTTGGATTGGAGAAGGTATTGTTAGGCAAGGTGTAAACCTCAGTATTGATTGAGAAAAAGGTCAGGAAATATAACTGCATAAAAATGCAAAACTTAGCCGTGCTCGGTGGCTCAGCGGCTCAGCCTGTAATTGCACGCCTTGGGAGGCTGAGGTAAGTGAATTGCCTGAGCCTGCAGGTTCGAGACCTGCCTGGGCAACTTGGTGAGATCTCATCTCTACAACAAATAAAAAAATTAGCCGCGTGTGGTAGCGTGCCCCTGTAGTTCCAGCTACTTGGAGGGCTGAGGTGGAAGGATTGCTGGAGCCCAGCAGGTAGAGGCTGCAGTAGCCAGGAGCAGCCACTGCGCCACTGCACTCTAGTCTGGGCGACAGAGTGAGTGAGACTCCAACTCAAAAAAAAAAAGCAAAACTTCCATGCTCTGAGAGGCAGTTAATGAAATAGAAATATCTGTAAAGAGATGTTAACCTCACTAGTGATCAGGGAAATATAAATACTTATAACAAAGATGTTGGGGAAACTGATATAGTCATACGTTTCTTTTGGGGGTAGATGATGAACCTTTTTCTGCAAAGTATAAAATTAACATTTTTAAATTCTTACACATGCCATGATTAAAAACCACAATGGAAAAGATACATTTGACCTGTCAAACATTAATAGATGTATCAAAATTTAAAACATAGACAAAAGAAACCATGAATTAACAAGTTAAAAAGCAGGCAGCAGTATAAATGGGAGAAAATACACTTTATAAAAAATAATTGATTGGCTTGGTGCAGTTGCTGTATTCAGAATTTTGTAAGGAATTTCTACAAAAGGCAAAAGGACAATCTAATCAAAAATGGACAAAGACTGAACTGTTATGTTACAGAAAATTCCATTGAGTAGTAAATAGGGAAAAAAATTCATTTTCATTAGGAATGAAAGGTGCAGATTAAATGAGGATGCCATTTTCTCTTTCTCTCTCTTTTTTTTTTTTTTTTTGAGTTGGAATCTCACTCCTTCGCCTGGGCTGGAGTGCAGTGGCACGCATGCTCATGGCCACCGCAGTGTCGACATTCTGGGCTCCAGTGATCCTTTCGCCTCAGCTTTCCAAGTAGTTGGAACTACAGGCGTGCGCTCCCACGCCTGGCTATTTTTTATTTTATTGTAGAGACAAGGTCTCGCTGGCTTGCCCAGGCTGGTCTTGAACCCGCGGGCTCAGGCAATCCACTCGCCTCGGCCTCCCAAAGTGCTGGGATTACAGGCTGAGCTACTGAGCCCGGCCAAGGATGCCATTTTCTACCCATGATTTAAATGGCAGAAATGAAAATTGTCTTATGATATCAAGTATTAAGATATGAATAGATTTATACATTTCAGGTGATAGTTTTCATATGTTTAGCCATTTTAGAAAGCAGTATAGTATATCTATTAAAATCAGAAAATGCTCATATCTTATGAACTAGTAGTGCTGCTGCTTACTGTAAATTCTGGGTTCACCCTGGCTCATGGTATGAAGAGATATGCACTAGGAAGTTGAAAGCACAGACTTTGGAGCCAGATCACCTGGTTCAAATTCTAATTTCACTTTTCACTGGCTCTGTAACCTTGGACAAGTTATTTAATCTCTATGTTTCCACTTACTTAAAATGACAATTATGGTAGGTACTTTATAAAAAGTTGCTACCTTATAGATGGAGTGAATTAGTCACATAAAATTATAGAACAGTGTCTGGTTCATAGTAAGCACTGTATTTGTTAGCTACTATAATTTGCAGCATTTTTTGAAAAAGATAACCGGAACCAACTATATACCTATCTTTTGGAGAAACTGATAAAATTGTCATTGTTATGCAACTGAATATTATATAATCCTTAAGAAGATTTAGATCTATTATAACATGGACAGATCTCAGAAACAGTGTTGGCCTGGTTTTAGAAACTTTAGGTATGACAACATTTTAAGTTTATAACTTTTAAATTATAATAATATTTTAATGTTAAGTTTCATTTTGTTGTTTACATAGAGTTGGATTTTGGTTGCTTATGTAAGAACCCAAGACTCCGAAACGACCTCAGTCTGATGGCCTCCCAACTAATTATTTTAAGTGTTCATACATGAAAACATACATGTATGAGGGGAAGCCCAAAAACCCCTGGAATTTATTTATAAAAAGTTGTGTATTTATTTTTACATGTTTAAACTTCAGTCATCTTCAAAGCATTCTCTGTTTGATGCAATACACCTGTGGAGACACTTTTTCCACTGCTTTAAAACAATTTTTGAACTTGTCAATTTTGATGCCTTTTAGTGTGTCTGCCATTTTTTATTTCTCCTCTTCCAAATTGGCATTATGTTTCCCTTTGAGGACTTTTTTTCATACAGGGAAACAATAGTCGCTTGGGGTGAGACTGAGTGAATAGGGAGGGTGGGGCACGAAGGTCATGCTGTTTTTGATAAAAAACTGCTGAACATTCATTGTGGTGTGGGAAGGTACGTTGTTATGGTGGAAGAACCATTCACCTGTTTGCCAAAACTCAGGATGTTTCTTCCACAAATCATGATGCAGTCTTCTCAAAACTTCCACATAAAAACTCTGGTTGACCATTTGATCTGGAGAAACAAATTCTGAATTCTACAAGGGTCCTGTCTTCCAAAAGATAATTCCATTTTTTTGTGTCCCCTGTGTGTGTGTGTGTGTGTGTGTGTGTGTGTGTGGCGCGCGCGCGTGTGTGCGTGCACATAGACTTGTGTGTGTAAAATAATGTATATATGCATTTTACAGCAAGTTAACATGTTACAAACATTTAGTTATAGGTATGAAATTATTGGAAGCTTGGTTCTTAATAACTCCATAATATTTCAGAGTCTGACATTTTTATTTTTTCTAAGTTTTGCCTTGGAATAAATTAAATTTAATTTGTTTTTTTCTTTTTTTTTTTGAGTTGGAGTCTCACTCTGTCGCCCAGGCTGGAGTAGTGCTACACTCATAGCCACCGCACACCTGCTGGGCTCAGGGGATCCTTCTGCCTCAGTCTTCCAAGTAACTGGAACTACCGGTGTGTATCACCACGCCCAGCTAATTTTTGATTTATTATAGAGACAAGGTCTCACCAAGTTGCCTAGACTGGTCTTGAACCTCTGGACTCAGGCAGTCCTCTCGCCTTGGCCTCCCAAAGTGCTGGGATTACAGACGTAAGCCAACACTCCCAGCTAAATTAAATTTTTTTTTTTTTTTTTTTTGAGTTGGAGTCTCACTCTTTTGCCCAGACTGGAGTGCAGTGGCCGCTCCCAGCCACCGCAACCTCGACCTGCTGGGCTCCGGCGATCCTTCCGCCTCAGCCTTCCGAGTAGCCGGAATTACAGGCGCTCGCTACCACGCCCGGCTAATTTTTTGATTTTATTGTAGAGATGAGGTCTCGCCTGCCCAGGCGGGTCTCGAACCCACGGTCTCAGGCAATCCACTCACTAAATTAAATTTTTTAAAGATAGTGTTTAGAAGCAGGTAACCTTTGTATATCAGAATTTGTAAAGAAGTATAATTGTTAATGTTCTTGTCTGATACTTTTCTCTTTTGGGATGATAGTCTAAAAGAAAAACTGTTTCTCTGTAGTCAGAATACTCCTGACATCAAATGTTAGGGTTTTTCACACCAGGTAATTCTCTGTAGACATCAACTAATTGTCATACAATTTAATTCATTTCTAACACCAGCTACCCAGATTTACACAGAACCACAGGTTAAAGGCTCAGGGCTACAAGATTGCTTTCACTTCAGATACCTGTTGTAAGTAGTGGTTTCCAGGTCACCCACAACTTCTGTCCTAATTTGTTTATAAATGAGGGGTTCTTATATGACCTGCTGCTCAGTTTTCTTTTTCTTTCTTTTTTTTAAGGAGACAGAATCTTGCTATTTTTTTGCCTTGGCTGGTCTTGAGCTCCTGAGCTCAAGCAGTCCTCCTGTCTCAGCCTTCTGAGTAGCTGGGACTGCAGGTGTGCCACTGTACCCAGTTCTCAGGTCTCAATTTCTTTTTTAATGTAATCAAGTTTTCCAGTAGATATCCTTGGATGCTTTGTACACATATAGCAATATATAAGACAATCCACACCTGTAATTCCAGCACTTTATGCCGCCAAGGCAGGAGGATTGCTAGAGCTCAGGAGTTAGAGACTAACCTAGGAAACTAACCAGACCTTGTATCTACCAAAGAAAAAAAATTTTTTTTTTTTTTTGAGTTGGAGTCTCACTCTGTCACCCAGACTGGAGTGCAGTGGGTGTATGATTTAAAAAACAAGGCCCAAAATATTGAGTGTGATATGATCTCATTTGTACAAAAAAATGAAGGATGGAATTAGGCCTTATACTTGTATATACATAGAATATATTTGGAAGAATATACTTGGAATATTTGGAATTAGTTAACAGTGGTTGCTTCTGAGGAGGAGGACTGGGAATTTCGTGTCATGGAAATTGAATGTGAACCTTTTTGTACTGTTTCTTCTTTTTTTTTTTTTGTGAGTTGGAGTCTCGCTCTGTCGCCCAGACTGGAGTGCAGTGGCACGCTCCCGGCCACTGCAGCCTCGACCTGCTGGGCTCTGGCGATCCTTCCTCCTCAGCCTTCCAAGTAGCCAGAACTACATGTGTGTACTGCCATGCCCGGCTAATTTTTCTTTTTTGGATTTATTGTAGAGATGAGGTCTTGCCAAGTTGCCCAGGTGGATCTCCAACCTGCAGGCTCAGGCAATCCATTTGTCTTGGCCTGGGATTACAGACTGAGCCACTGAGCCCGGCCTGTACTGTTTTTTCTAACATTGGGTATACTTTCAGTTAAAAAACTGGTCTAGGCCAGGCTCAGTGGCTCAGCCTGTAATCCCGCGCTTTGGAAGGCCGAGGTGAGTGGATTGCCTG